TTGCCTAGACTCTTACCATAAGGCTAACTATTACCATTATATACCTAACAAATGTCCCATATGTGGCTGTACGTTCCTGCATGTAATACTTCCCCCACATTGTAGGCAAAACAAGACACGTGTGAGTGTGTTTGGGAGGAGTGTGTGTGTTTTAATGCATGATTATGTTTTTCCATTAAATTAGATTAAATTAAATTAAAGGATTGCTTAAAACTTAGAATGTTGTTTTAAATAAAAAATAAATAATGCACAGTTTTATCATTTATCTTTCTGTTAAGCATCTCAGAATCAGAACCAAGTAGGGTTGCACATACAAGGAATTTGATTAGGTGTTGATGGTGCAGACAAAATAGATATATATACAAAATACAGAATCAATTGCTTTAAACAATATAAAACATACACATTCAGTATTACTATGGCTTATTCACTAATGTTAAAAAAAAACAAGCAACTTAGAAACTTTAGAGCAAATGGATTCAAGGCGAAAGTTCAACTAAAGAAAACTCATTGCTCTCCTATATCCACCTGCGACAGCCAATCAGCTTTGAACCACACCTCCACGAAAGCCAATCGGCATCAAGTTCATCTTAAAAGGCCTCCGATCCGCTCTTGTCTGCTCCTGTGGGCAGGCGGCGATGCCTTCATTCAGATGACACAGTTTTAACCCACCTCCAGCCCCTCCTCCACCATGTAGCTAAAGTGTCCCCTGTCTCATCTCAACCTGTCCATGTTGAGCCTGGTTTTGCTAGAGGTTTCTTCCCAATGGGGATTTTTTCCTTTCCACTTTCGCTTCATGCTTGCTCATCATGGACAGGTTCTCTCAACCTGTCCATGTTGAGCCTGGTTTTGCTAGAGGTTTCTTCCCAATGGGGATTTTTTCCTTTCCACTTTCGCTTCATGCTTGCTCATCATGGACAGGTTCTTTCAACCTGTGTTATCCAACTGGACTTCCATCTTCCAGGACCCTGAGTGAAGCTCTAGTATCAGCACTGGATCTCCCCATAAAGCACAGCATACCGTCTCACTAACCAGCAGTCTATAGACTGACCAACTTCATCTATCTCCACTCCACCACCAGTTTCAGGCCTGGGGGGGAAACAGCCCTATTCTTTGCTCCTGTTCATGCATATCTATCAAAATTCAGCACTATGTTTCCTGCCAAGGTCTGAGCGCCAAAGACCAAGTAATTTTATCAATAAATTTATCTTAATTGTCTTTTCTCTTCATGTGAGTTTTTCAGATTGAATTGTTTTTATGCAGAGTTCAGACTGAATATAGATGGACTCTGATTACCAATTATGTGTTAAGGAGGGAATCAGTAGCGCAGGATTTTGTTTTTGCTCAAAGAGTAACTCTGTGTTAATCTATCACACGCACTCCCAATAAAACACATTAAAGCTTACATTTGTGACCTTACACAATTTGAAAGAATTGAAGGGGTTTGAACACTTTTTATAGTGACGAAACACTTTACAAAAACTACCCAAATGCCGCCATCTAGTGATAAAACATGGTTACTACATAAACGGTAAGAGGTTTCTTTGCCATCGGAGTGAATTTAGGAAGATAACAAATGGTAATAATTGTGTTTTGCTGTCAATTTTTTTATAAACGTGGCATTAAACGTTTTCGTAAAGAAATAATCATAAATAAAAGGCGCAGAATTCGTAGGGCTTGTGTTGTTAATGTAGCCTTCGTTGTGTTTCTATTAGGATCACATGATCTAGCGAGCTAGCTGCGTTGTTAGCACAGCCTCTGAGTTAACCAGGAAACGCTGCGACCTAATATTTTTAGTTTAATATTTCAAATATATTTTATCAGCTATTGTTTTAGAAGCTATTTTGTTAATCCGGCGAAGCATATTGAGGGACATTTTTGGTAAGTATAGCCAGGCTAGCTAATTTGGTTTATTAACCTACTTCCAGCTGTCACTTATTCTCCAGTTAGCCTAGCTAAACCTAAAAACACTTAGCTTATAGAGCCATAATCATCTTTATTTTTCTTTATATGAAGCCGGTGGGTTATTGCTTTTATTGGCTGTAAAGATACGCCAGGCCTTATCGTGTTAATGACTGTTTCTTTCTATTCCTAACTTCTGCCCTGAAGCTTTTGTTAATCAGTAAAATAATTGCTTGTCATTGTGTTTCATATATATTTTCTATATGGCTGCCATCATCAAAATTAAGAAAATGAGCATGTGATCAAAAACTGTGACAAAACAGCACATGATCTGAATCTGTGGAAAAAGACTTTAAACTGGGGTAAGATTGAATATTTATATATACTTTTTTTTTCCCTATAAAAATTATCTTTTTACTGGCTTATCCAATTAAAATAATTTATGTTTGCAATTAATTTCAGTGAGTTAAAAGTTATGTCATGCAGATAAATTAGCTTTTGATGATGTTGTACTATTGTTTTGTTTTTGAAATTTAATTTTTTTTTAAAGGAAAATGATTCTTTATTTTTCTCTCAGGTAAATCCGTTCAAGGTGTGTTAAAAGTAGTGAATAGCCATGACAGCGAGGAAGTCCCTGCTTAAAGTCATCTTGCTTGGTGATGGAGGTGTTGGAAAGAGCTCCATAATGAATCGCTACGTCACCAACAAGTTCGACGCCCACCTCTTCCACACCATTGGCGTTGAGTTCCTAAACAAGACCCTTGAAGTGGATGGGAATCAGGTAACCCTACAGATCTGGGACACCGCCGGCCAGGAGCGTTTTCGCAGCCTCAGGACTCCTTTTTATCGTGGCTCCGACTGCTGCCTGCTCACCTTCAGCGTGGATGATAACCAGAGTTTTCTCAACTTGAGTAACTGGAAGAAAGAGTTCATCTACTACGCTGATGTCAAAGAGCCTGAGAACTTCCCGTTTGTGGTATTGGGCAACAAGGTCGACGTGACAGAGAGGCAGGTGTCTACAGAGGAGGCTCGGCTGTGGTGCCAGGAAAATGGTGAATACCCGTATTTTGAGACCAGTGCCAAGGACGCTACCAATGTAGCAGTAGCTTTTGAGGAAGCTGTGCATAGAGCTTTGGCTGCAGATGACAAAGCAGATCATCTTATCCCCACGGACACGGTGAAACTCCATAGAAAACCCCGCTCTGCTACTGCTTGCTGCTCATAAAAATCCCTGAAGCTATCACTAATAATTCTCCGCTATGCCTCTCATGTTTTCAGGGTGTAGGGATTACGTGCTGTAGTCATTAATTATGCTACTGGCTTCTTCTGATTAGTTCAAGATTCATTGATGCTAACTGTTGGACTTCTGCCTGGAATATGGAAGAAACACTAAACCTGTCCACTGATGTATTGATTTATCTTTGGCACATTTTAAAAACAATTAAGACATTCCTTAAACATTAAAATACTTAGTGATCCAGTTTTCATGTCTTTTTCATTATGTCATAATGAAAAAGACATGTTTAGATCTGAGAGTGCAAATATTATTGGGTTTTAACATGTTAACTCCCAAATGTAAGTTTTGCAGAATATTCATTGATATTTCAGTAGATTGTAACTGCATAACTTGAGATAAATTTTGTATCATCCACTAGCCATGTTTCTAATGATTATGAAATATTTAAATCTCGTCTTTAGAAAACTAACCCGTGAGACTTTTGATTATTACCCCCTAACACTGTGTAATGTACTTGCATTATAAATAAATTAAGGCTTCGTTGGTAGTGAAGAACATGTTCCAGCTTGAAATAAACTTAAAAGCGTAACATGCATGGCAATTTTGAACCTTCAAGTTTCTGCAAACCTTTGTTTTACTTTAATCTAGTTGATGTTTAAATTGAAAAGAAATATTTTTTATTTCCTTTTAATATAAAAATACACTTTTGGACTTACTTTATAGACTAATTCTTATTGCATTCTTTACAAAATATGCCTCCTTTTAAAGTTTTTTTGTTTTTAAACAGACTTGATTGTTTTAAAGATAATCTATCATTAAGTTAACTCACTGAAATGAATACATGTTGTAATGGCCTTCATCATGGGTCAAAATTCAGATCGATCCTGCAAATAATTTGTCAACTATGTGAAACTAATAAATGCATTTCAATATTTATTAAAAGGCATCTATTTTTTTTTGTAAATTGTTAGAACTAAATATATTTTCAAATGTAATGTATTCATATATTGTGTGCTAAGAGTGTAATATTTAAACTATGATTGTGGCTCATTAATCAGACGTTAAAATGATTCCACCAATCTAAACACTATTTTAACAATAGATCAATAAACCTTTTATTACACAGACACCTAACCCTCATGGGTGAAGTCTCTCAAAATATTTTCTTGATGTGCCGCAACTTAGTGCTATGAAATGCTAAACTACTGAAATTATATGGTCACTGAACATATTTAAAATTTTTTATTTTTTTTTTATTTATCCTTTATTTAACCAGGTAATACCCATTGAGATTAAAAATCTCTTTTGCAAGGGAGACCTGGCCAAGATAGGCATCAAAATTACATCACATCATTACATACGTACAAAGACACACACATAAAAGCCAAATATGCACTGTTTAATGACAAAATTTTGGAAAGAATTTTCACTTTGTATTTTTTTATTGTTTTTAAATGGTTGCATATATAACTAGTTATTGCTGACCTCTGTGATGCTTTGGGACATTTTTTGGGCCTCATTAGTGGCTTATAAAACAACTGTCTAAACAGCCTGTTTTGCAGTCGGATGATTAACTGCTTGAGAAGTACATTTTTGATTTTAATGAATAAACTTAAAGTGATTATGGTAGATATCTAATTTGTTTGTGCTGTAATGATCTTATTCATGCTATAATAATCCCTAAACTTATAAAAGACGACAAATCTGAGTGTATCCTAGAATGTGGTTCTTTAAGTTTCTTTTCTTTAAGTCTCAGTTGGTTCTGTGAACACCTTGTGGAAAGTACTTTTAGAAAAAAACTTAAGTATAAAACAAAGTTCACATTAGAAATTAAAACACTTCATACAATTTTCTTGTGGGAAATACTTTTTATTCGACAGGAAAACAGATCATGCACGCATATTTCGATATATACAAGGGAAAGAAAACATTCAAATCTTAGCATCGTCTGATTAACTCAGGAGATGCTTCTTTCCGAGAAACTGGACTTTCCTCTCAAATGCAGTGGAGCGGATTGGTGCGTTGATTTCATAGAAAGGATTCATTGCGAACTGGAAGATAAAAATATATTGAGACAATCAACTCTACAAAGTCTGGGTTACTGCGGCCGCACAGAGCAAGACTCACCTTTATGTATAAGTCGTAAACGTCGTTAAAAAAGTTCTTTATTCCATCTTCTTGTCGCATATCATGTAGCATGATGAATCTAATTTGTATGGAAGGTTATTAAAGAAATAGAAGGAAATTATGATGCACATGAATATAAAAGGAAAGACAACCTTCACAACTACAAAATAAATGAAGCTATTATCATGAAAACAGACAATATTTAAGAGTTTGTTTACTATGACATTTATTTTCTTCCTAGGGGATATCTCTAAAGACATAAAAACCTTTTAAAAACTGACAAAACGTTTAATTTACTTTCAGTTTTCTATTAAAGGTTCGTATCCAAACTAGAATAAACTTGATTAAAACTTATTTTTTTCAAAAAGAAATTGTCAATTTGGAATACACTGAAAATAAGTGATTGTTTCATTTAAGCTAGCTTTAAGAAAAGAAATACATTTATCAACAACAGGCACTTAAGATGCAATGATTTTGCAGGAACTTCCAGTTTTTTTTTGTTTTTGTTTTTTTTAAGTTTTAAAGTACCAATTGAACTTTTTATTTCAGAAAAAAAGCTTTTTATATCACATTAATTTTGAGTCCTTTCTCAGTAAAAAGCACAATTTATATTCATTTTTCCATTTACTTGTTGGAAATGGATATTTGCAGTTTTTAACCTGAACATTATTTTTATACTAGTTACTGAATGTGTTGGTGCAAATAATAAATGTGATTTGAAATATTGAACGTAAACAAATAAAGTACAGAAAATACAGAAAAGGATATGTCCTGCTGTGACGAAGGCTGAGACAAACCACTCGTTGAACTTGTCCACAGTTTTCAGGTACATGCTGTTGGAAAGCCACATGTTCTCGTCCACCAAGTCCAAGGCGGCGTGTGCAATGAACTGGTTAAGGTGACGGTGGTCGTCCTGTAATCAATGAGACACGTCTTCTCAAAAAAGATCATCATCAAATAATTGCTATTGATAATGCATGTAACACAGAACTAAAACAGAAAGTGGTCACATTTCCTATCCATGTTGCCAATCAAACACAGGTTAGCCCAACTATAGAAGGTACAGAGCTTTATCCATGTTTCAACGTTTTTTTTTTTACAGAAACCATCATATTTTACTAAGGCATATGATCAGGACCTCGGACCTGTTATGAATTAATCTTGCTATCTTTTCAATAAGTAGTGATTCCTGCTGTTAATCTTGCAAAAGGCTTGTAAAGTGGGGGGTTAGAATTTTAAAATGGAAAATGTATAAAATACCTGAACAGTTTATAGCATTTATATAAAAAATGATTATAAATCATAACAAAACGTTTCTGTTTTGCCTTTTTAGAGTTGATGCAAAAATTCACTAAAACCAAGAAAGGCCATAAATAAGGTTATTTTGTTTTGCATGTTTGCTATTGATTACATCTCAGTAAATTTAAATATTATTGAAAAGTAGATAAATTTCATTATTGATGTTTTAAAAAAGAAGAATTAACTTCTGTTAACTTGCAAACTGACTGCAGAATGCTATACAATATAAAAAAATACATATACACACACACACACACATACACACACACATATATATATATATATATATATATATATATATATATATATATATATATTGACGGCCACTATAAGCTGATTTTCCATTATCTGTACCTAAATCTTATTGCTTACATCAGCGAGCCTTACCGATGACATTTCGAAAAAAGGACAGATTGCATTTTAATTTTCGCGATGTAAGCATCATACCTTAGATTCAGGCTTCCCAGGTGGTAAAAACTCCATCTCAAACACAGGGTTGTCATGATGTCCGACCATTACAAAGTAAAAGCTTCCCGACATTGTATAGATGTCTTCTTGGCGAACCACGAGATGCTCTGAAATCAGTCAAAAATCATTTAATCTACCGCAAAATCCAATGAATGACTAAATCTACCCAGATAAGCAAAATGTCAGTCTCTACGCTAACAGGTCTATAGCTATAGAACTATATCAATAGATTCTTTAACGGGTTTTTGTAGCTAAGGTTAAAATACTCCAGATTAAAACTGTTTATGAGAATTAAGCGTGCATGTTACAGTAAAATAACCCGATTTTTTTGTTTACCTTTTATTTCCACTTCCTGGAGAACTGAAACTGTTGTCGCAAAAAGATGACGACATAAAAAAAAACAAGTTACCCTTAAATTTAAAGTTAGCGTAATATTTTGGCTCATTTATAATTTAACTTTTAAACAAGTTCTGTAGGAAACGTGTATAATTTATTAGGAATTTTTAATATACATTTATTATACATATTAAACAATGGTACCAATCAGTGGCGTCATAGACGTGCGCCTGCAGTGCAGAATTTCCGTTGGCGAATTTAAATGTTTGGGGTCCATATTTTTAAAAGGAGTAGGGACGGAGTTTTAATAAACAGCTAAGAAAACTAAATATTTTATTTTATTATTTTTTTATTTGGAAGTAAAGCTTTCAGGATAGATAAACTGATATTTTGTAAATATTGTGGGGTTTTCTTTTTTTATCGTTATGTCTTCGTCTAAGGAGGATTCGTTATCCCCAGAAGAACTTAGGAAAAGACTCTATCGAACCTTTAAAAACAAAGGAGTCCTCGATAGACTTAAAGTAAGACAAATTCCCCTCGTTGTGGTCACTGAAATTCAGGTTGTCATACATCTTTTCCCTTTTAATTTACTTTGGATTTGATCAGGTGCAGCTGCGGAATCAGCTCATTCAGGAGTTAAATCATCCACTTTCAAGGGGACAAAATCCAGGTCCAGTGCCACTAAATGGAACATCTGAGACACTTCTACTTTCAGCCTGCAACAGTATGGTGGCTGATCACCTCCGTACTTTAGGGTATGAATACACACTTTCTGTATTCTGCCCCGAGAGTGGTCTGAGTAATGACAAGGTGAGGATGAATGCTAATCCTAATTCCTATTTTCCATGTATTTGTATGTATGCGCCTCCCTTATGCCGATTGTTCTGAAAAATACACGAAATTACACTGCATACATTTCCTAATTCTGCAATGGACTCCACCTTTGTGTGATTTCATTCTGGTTTAAATACAACTATTTTTGTAATAATAGATTTGTTTTGGGGGAAAAAAGAACAAACTGTGTCATACAGAAATTATGTTTAAGAACAGATTTAAGTTGGATTAAGCCCAATATTTATAAGCTTTTAAAATTTTCAAGGAATATTGTTCACTATGTCGGTGAAGATTCTCAGTCATTAAGGTCATACCAAAAAGTAAAAAAAAAAAAAAAAAAAAACCCCTTAACATTTTTGAAGTCGTGCTGCCATACCAGGGCCCCAGACAGCCTGCAGGCGTGTACTGCATGGTTTAGTCGGTNATGGTGGCTGATCACCTCCGTACTTTAGGGTATGAATACACACTTTCTGTATTCTGCCCCGAGAGTGGTCTGAGTAATGACAAGGTGAGGATGAAAGCTAATCCTAATCTCTAATTTCAACGTATTTCTATCCAGCCTATCTTTATGCCGATTGTTCTGGGGGGGGAAAATACAGTGCATACATTTCCTAATTCTCCACCTTTGTGTGATTTCATTCCGGTTTAAATACAACTATTTTTTGTAATAATACATTTGTTTGGGGGAAAAAAGAACAAAGTTTATCATACAGAAATAATGTTCAAGAACAGATTTAAGTTGGATTAAGCCGAATGTTTATAAGCTTTGAACATTTTCAAGGAATGTTGTTCACTATGCTGGTGAAGATTCTTAGTCATCCAGGTCATAGTCATTCCAAAAAGTAAAAAAAAAAAATAACCCACTGGATTTTGTTTTCCAAGTTTGAAGATGTTTCGCTTCCCGTCCGGAAAGCTTTCACAATTTAAAATGTCTGGAATAGAGTTGAGTTCCAGGTAGGGTTGTCAAAAGTATCGATTATTAAAAAAAATATCGATACTGAAACGTTGTATCCGGATACAATACTCATTTTCAAAAGTATCGATACAGTGCTACCACCAGTGGCACCTTAACAGTCATTCATCTAATGTGCAGAATAGAGGAAAATGCACTTTCTGAAAACTGTGGGATTGAAAAATTCTGTGCACTTTTCATTGTTTGCTTCTTAACCGGTTTGGCTAGTGTCATTGCTATGTGTGCCAAGCATATCCAAGTAAGGAAAACTTAATTTTAATTTTGTAAGTTTTTTTTCAAGCTTGCTTAATACTGTGCACAGCAAACAACCTCAAAATATTGTTCTTTATTTATTGTATTTTAATTATTAATCAAAATATTTCTGTTGAAATTTAGAGTTTTTATTCTTGTGGTATCGAAAATGGTATCGAGTATCGAATATTTTCCTTAGTATCGGTATCGAGTTGAAAAGTTTGGTATCGTGACAACCCTAGTTTCAGGCTTTATAGAGTAGCCCAACAAAAGCCTTGTTATGGCTTAGAAAACATGCAAATTGAACGGAGATCTTTTGGTCACCTGCATAGTGATGGGGGTTGAGATGATAACTTGAAGGAATCAACTCTATCGCTTGGTTGTAGGTTTTTGAGGGATAAAACCTGAGTCCATCCCCTCTGTTTAATGTTGGTTTTTCTCTCTTAACATAAATGGTTTCTTCTTTGTCCAAAATGTGAACATTCTGGTCCTCAAATGTTGTTCATTCATCATCCAAAAGGCGAATGAGTATTTCACAATTATATTTGACACACAGGCTACATTTGAAAAGCAGTAAAAATACATTTTAATACTGGTTAAATAAATGGTGGTGGCTTAATGCTGAGGACAATGCATAATCTAAAACTGATGATATAAAACAATACTTGAGCTACCCACAGGGAAATTTATATAACTGTGTGTTAGGACGGCCCAGGTAAGTCCAGTTAAAGTCTCAAACAGGACCGAATTTTTTTGCGTTGAAATTGCTAATTTATTTGCAAAAAAAAAAAAAAGCTAAGTTGAGAGAGACTTATACCAAAAGAGCCTTGCAAGAAAGGTCTTTCTCTTATTGTTTGACTTGAGGGCTAATTCCAAATGCAAAGCACATTTCATGTATATTTTTTGTTTGGAAAAAAAAAAAGTTATTTAAGCCATGCATAATTTTATCTGGTTTTACAATCAAGTGCTCCACTCTGTTGGTCCTTTACATAAAATCCTGCTAAAATACATCAAAGTTTGTTCTTGTAATAAAGGAAAATTCCAATGAACTGCAGATGGAAATTAAAACAAAAACTTTTTGCTCTGTTTTGTCAGATTCTCAAGAAAGAAGACCTTCTTCGCATTCTTAATTTAAGTCCTTCATCAGCAATTTTTGCATCTGTGGTAAATATATAAGTGATTTATTATACAATGAATTTAGAAAAAAAAATACATTTTCTAATTTTAATATCAATTTTAACAGCAAAATAAAGAAAACAGTGATAAAGGTATGTTCAGTATTTTTCTCTTCTATTCAAACTACTTCTACATCCTAGTCTTCTTGCTAGCATGAAGGTCGTGTCTTTCAGGGTTCCTGTTCAGCCTTTTGGCAGGTCTGGCACACCATTCAACACACAGCCTCCGCCATGATGTAGATACTCAGACAACCAGCCTAGCAAGTTATGGAGAGTCCCTTGGTATGATAAATTTGTATCTGAGATTGTTTTGTGTGGTTGTTAGTTTTTCAAGCACATATTATTTAGTGTTAATTACAGTGTTTTTCTTTTCTGTTCAGTTGACAAGATGAAAATGATTGACAAACGGTATGAGAGCCTTGCTTTGGGTGAAGACAAAATCTTCCCACTACAATCAAAACTTTCAGCATATAAAAAAGAGATTGAGGCACAAAAGGAAGCAGAAATGAAAACAAAGGTATTAACATAAGCATGTAGGATAACATTTAATCATTTGGGTTGTTTCTCCATTTTCTCTGCTTTGACATTGTGCCATTTTTTTAAGCTGAAACATTTCAAAGATGTTGAAATCGCAAAGGTGAGGATGGAGGAAAAATCCAAGTTTAATGAGGAATTTGAAAAGCTGAAGCAAGAACTGGAGAGGACTTATGAGATGAAAGCAAAGGCACTGATGGAGCGAGAGAAAAACGCCATCGAGAGGCTGCAAAAACAGCAAGAGGTGAAATGTAGCTAGTTAACTTGTTTTTCCCTGTTTTTGTTTTTATTTTCTCTCTACACACTTAAAATCCTTGGCATTGTTATTTATTTATTTATTTATTGCTGCTCTCTAAAACATCTGATTACCACTGATAATGTCAGGCACAGATAGTTGTAAAATGGGATTCTGGATAAGCCATAAACCGAGCTATATTATCAGCCTAATCATGCAGTGTTTATATTCAACACGGCAGGTTAGGCAGTTATAAACTGCAACACAATGCAACTAGCATGAGTAGGCTGCTCATTATGAAAACCTTGTACACTGACCTTTGCTGAGATTAAAGGGGACTTCCCGTAGGCTTTTCAAAATCGATTATAAGAATATTATGATCACTTCTACAATTTTTTTCCTCTGGTTAAATAAAGAAATTGTTGACTTTTTTTCATCTGAAGTTATTTTAAAACGTCCTGACATCTGGAAAACTTAATTTCTTCTTAAATGTTTTATAGACTACCAATTCTGTTCCATATCTTTGACTATCAATGCTTGCATGTCGTTAATGATGGGGAGTTTTATCCTTAGATTGAAGAAAAAAACATCTACATGCAGAGACAGTCTCTGCTGAAAGAAATCGAAACACAACGCAGCAGAGACAATGAGCTGAGGATGAGAATGGAGGCTTTTGAAAAGTAAGATATTTTTTAAAGATGTTTTTTGTTTTATTTCCAAATCACTGAATCTTAACTTTGTTTCAATCAAATATAAGCTCTTGTCAAATTCATGCGGAGAAGGTGAAAGTTTCTGAAGAGTTGTTAAGGAGAAGAGAACTAGCTGTCAGGACGATGGAAGACACGTACGACCAGAAGCTGAAGACTGAGCTGTCCAGGTATTTTCCATCTTAGAAAAAAGAATCATATTTCGTCCAACCAAAAGTAGCTCCTAAGTTTAAGTTGGTCAGTTTTTTTTTATC